CGGCTCCCGGCTGGCCACGGCTGCCGGCCACATGCCATCCCTCAAGCCTCCCGGGGACAGCAGCTGCCAAGTGCTGGCCGAGCCAGGAACCAGAGGCCCAGCAGCCCAGAGCGGCTGCCACCCAGTGTGGGCCGAAGACAGAGCAGGGGTCCTCGCCCTCCCGTGGGCCCTCTCACCCAGTGTAAGCTTTGTTCATGGAGCTGCCCAAGCACAGCACAAACCCCAGACTCCATCCCAGCAAGCACACGCCTGTCCCCTCTCGGCAAAGCCGGCACTGCGGCGTCCACACCGCGCCAGCACGCTTGGGCAGCCAGGGTCTCCCGCAATGCATGCTGGGCCACGGCAGGTCAGGGCTGGGGAAAGGGGCCTCCCACCCGGCTGTCCTCAGAGGGGCTCTGAGGGTCACCCTCTCAGCCTGCTGACCGTCACGGACTCCTCCACGGGGGCGCTCTTGAGCCCCCGAAGTCACCCCCAGGGAGGGAGTCTGCACAGAAGCATAAAAGGACAAATAAGCACGGGGCCTGTCCCCAACCCCAGCAATGGGCCCTGACACACACGGCCTGGTCGGGGCAGGGCCCGCAGCGGCTTCGGGGGTGACTGCGGGGCGCAGGGGCCTGCACCAGCCTGCCTGGAGGGGCCCTGCATGCCCAGCCCCTCGGAGAGCTGCTTCCTGCCTGAGCTGAGGGAAGTGTTCTCTGTGGGCTGCAGCCGAGGGCCCTGAGTCCAGCGGTGGACGCCAGGCTCTGCTTGCTGCAGTGGGAGCTGAGCTGGCAGTGGCCAGGCTGAGGGTGGGCGCGGAGAGGGGTGGGCGCGGAGAGGGGCGGCCGTGAGTCGCTCTCCTGCGTGCCGCTCCTGGGCATTAAGGGTCCTCTCACCTGTGTCGGCCACAGGCTGTGGGGACTGCACACGTGTGCCGTGCTGGCCAGCTCGGCTAAGCGTCACTCACGGGAGGGCGGAACCCTAGCCCACATCCTTGCAATTTGAATTTAAATCTAATCAGAGGCTCAAACTTCTCTTCCTCTCACCGCGGCGGTGCTTCCCGTGTGGCCGCTGACCGTTTGGACATCCTTGCAGCCATCTTGTCTCTGGAACCTGGCGGAACATTCTCTCGCTCTCAGAGGCTCCTGAGCCTCACAGAGGCCTGTCGGGCTGATTCCCACAGCCCCAGCGGGAGCGCGAGGAGGCTCACTCTGGCTGCCTGGGAAATTCTGGCTTGGCGTCCTCCCGATCGCTCTGGGACTCGTGTACACGGACATCACGTTAGTTAACTTTGTTGCATAAGAATCACCCTAAAGCTGAGCAGGCCTCCAGTGCACGCCATTTCCCTGGGCAGGAACCTGGGGTGGCTCAGCCCCACGGCCCGGCCAGCTTCCCCTGACGTTGGCGTCCAGACTCCAGCCAAGCATGGCTGCTCATGATCCCGACAGACGGCGTCACCGTTGGCCTCAGCGCCTGGGCCGTGAGCCCCGTCACAGGGTGGGTCGCGTGTCCCCAGCGTGGCAGCCAGGACCCCGGAGAGCGTGAGAAAGCCACAGGGACTTCTGGGATCCGGAGGGCTGCACCCAGGTCGGCTCCTGGGCTCCCTGGCTCAAGGGGCACCAGCCCCTGCCCCGGGTCCAGCTGGGAGAAGTTTCCTTCCAAATCTGCCCCTTGGTCAGGCCCCCCACCTCCCCACGGTGGAGCTCCTCTGCCAGACGGGGGGTCTTGGGTGGGGTCTGTGACTTGCGGAGCTGTGTCCACCCCTCCCCTCGGCCCGCCCCCTGAGCGTGAGGGGTGCAATGGGAATGAGGAGCCGGGTCAGCGTCCTCAGCCCAAGGCCCAGCGGTTCCTGGACCTGCCCTGGGCCGGCAGCGGTGGGCAGCTCGGAGTTAGCGCCCTGGGCCGGCAGCGGTGGGCAGCTCGGAGTTAGCGCCCTGGGCCGGCAGCGGTGGGCAGCTCGGAGTTAGCGCCCTGGGCGGGGCCGGCCCGCGCGCCCCCAGCCCCTTGGCCCCAGCAGGAAGAGCACATGTTCTTTCCACAGAGAGGAGAAATTGTTCCGTGAGTGAGTAAGCCCTTGGCCGCAGAGCCAGCCCAGCCCGCAGAGCCCAGGCAGGAAGCTGGCAGCTCTCGCGCCTCTCCTGGAACCAGGGCTGGGCTGGCCGACTCCCTCGGAGGCAACGGACCTGGGTTGGGGCTGGGGGCTGGGAGAACTGCTGAGCCTTTGCCTCCACGTGGCTGGGCCGGCGGGGCGGGGGTGGGCTCAGCAGGGGACAGGCTCAGGCCCAGGCGGCCCCTCGGGGCCCCTCCAGGTCTGGAGTCAGGGCTGAGTCAGCGGTGACTCAGGTGTGCTCCAAGGGGGGGCTCGGCTCTGCGGGGTCTCGACTCTCTTCATGTTTTCCTTCGTGAAGGCACTGGGGACAGGGCAGACGGGGAGGCGCGAAACCCTTGGAGTATGACGGGCGGCCCGGCCCAAGCAGGGCTGCATTCACCGCGGGTGGAACAGGAGCTTGGGTGCTGCTGAGGGAGCGCCTCTTCTGTCTGTGGACACTCGCATGCAAGGACGAACAGGCCCGGACGAAAGGAGTCAGGTGTCCACCGGTGTCCACTGGTGGCCCCCGGGGACCAGACACAGCTCTCAGATGAGCCCACGCTGCTGGACCACAATTGGCCAGGGCTGGGTGGCCGTCCGGCTCCCCAGGGCACAGCTGCTCAGTTTCACGCCCCTGGCCACACCCACACCTCCCTCTCGAGGCTTGCCCTGAGGGCCAGCCAGCAATCTCGGGAGAAGGCAGTGATCGCTGCCAACATGCCAGGCCTGTCCTGTGTCCAGAGGAAGGACGAGCAAGAAAGCAGCCAGCACAGGGGCTGGGCCCAGGGAGGGAAGGGGAGGCTTGGGGGGGTGGAGGGAGGCAGGCCCTGCCGGCACCCAGCTCCGCCCTCCCAGTGTACATGGGGTGGACCTGATACGGGCTTTTCAGAACCGGGAGCCTAGGGCAGGTATTTGATGGACAGGTGAAGGCACGGCTTCCGATGCCCCATCCCATACCGGATGCCCAGGCTCCAGTCCTGGCTCCACTTCTGATCCAGTTTCCTGCCGCTCCTCGCCCTGGGAGGCAGCAGATGATGACTGCGTCCCTGCCTCCTGCATGCGAGACTTGGATTGAGCTCTGGGTTCCTGGCCTCAGCCTGGCCCAGCACCAGCTCTGGGCATCATGGATATTTGGGGAGTAGACCTGTAGATAAAAGTGCCCTCTCTCTCTCTCTCCCTCCCTCTCTCTCTCTGCTTCTTGAATAAACCTGGTATATGAGAGCAAGGCCAGCAGCACAGAGACAGCCTGGGCATCAGCTCCCACAGGCCAGTGCTGCACGTCCCCGTGAGCGGTCGCCCAAGCCTCAGCCCCCAGGCCGCCCCTCCAAGCCTGGAGCACAAGAGCTCCCAACACCTCTGGTTCTCAACCAAAAATGAGCTGGGCAGGGGTCCCAGCCCTCCCCTCAGAGACTTTGGGGGCCCCCAGGCTCCCCCTCCCCTTAGGACAGGGGGAGTTGGGCCTGAGACTTGCTCTGGGGACGCTCTGCCTTCGGGGAGCCAGGGGTGCCGGTCCTCGCAGAGGCCAGCGTCAAGAAAGGATCCTTGGGCTAGGACTTGGACAGCCCGGGTCTCCTCCCGGGCCAGAGGCACCTGCCATCCGAGCCCCGGTGGCTGAAGGCAGCTGTAAGGGTCCCTCGAGCAGTCCCTAGTGCCTCACCCGCTAGCGTCCTGCTCTGGTTCCTGTGAGGCCGCCTGGCCAGCGACAGCCCCAGGGCACCCCCTGGTGGCCACACACAGCCACGCAGCTCCAAAGTTCCTAAGAATCCGAGAAGGGCCGCCTTGGGCACCACGGCTAAGACTCGCTTGGGACACCCGCACCCTACAGGGGCTGCTGATTCACGTCCTGAAGCCACTCTGCTCCTGACCCGGCTTCCTACCGATGCACACCCTGCAAGGCAGCACACGGCGGCCCGCCCACGAGGGAGCCCCTGGTGGGATTCCCGGCTCCAGGCTCTGCCAGGCCCAGCCCACTTGTGGGGCACTGGGGCAAACGGAGTCAATGGAGGCAAGATCTCGGCTTCTCTACTTTTCAAATAAAAATGGAAATAGGAAAATAAAGTTTTTTAAATAAAGTAAAAATCCATGAAACACCAGAGCAGGATCACGGCCCTGAGGCTGGGCTGGGGCAGAAGGGAGCTGCCCCCAGCCCCAGAAGTGGGTGGGGTCTCCAGATGCCAGGAATCCCCACCCTGTGACGCTGCACTTGCAGGGCCGGCCTGGGTCTCAGCCTCCCCTCCGCGTGGTCGTGCTGTTCAGGGCCCACCCTGCAGGACTCAGCCTCTGCTCCTGAGATGCAGGGGACAGGCTAGTCGGCGGGGGAGTCCCCCTGGGGGTGCTCGGCCCTCGACCCCTCCTGAGGGGAGCCCTGAGAGAGGCACAGTCTCAGGCTGCAGGCGACCTGGACACCACTCAAGTGTGAGTGTCCCACCCACTCAGGAGACTGTGCAGGCTGAAACCCGCCAGCCCCAGGCCCCGGCCCAGCAGCCTTGGTGGAGTGGGCGTGAAGCGGCCACCGGCCACGAGAACCCTGGGCCTCCCCCACCCCACCCTGTGCTGAACGCAGCCCTGGACCCGCACTCAGGGACACTCCCGCCAGGACAGGCCATGCCCACGGCCTCCCATGGACCCGGGGGCACCATGAGTCCCCAGTTTATAGAGACTGAGGGGGAGGGGTTGAGGACCCCCCACAAGTCACAGAGTTGCTGAACAGCAAAGCCAGGGTCTGTCCCCACCCCCACTACCACCACCTCGCGCACGCTGGCACCAGCTGCAGCCAGGGCGACGCCCTGGGCGCAGGAACCAAGGGAGCAGGCAGGAGCTGCCCGCCAAGTCCCACCTCCCGGAGGCCCGAGGTCTGGGCAGACCGGCACCCACACTCCCCTGCGTCCGTGCTCCCAGCGACAAGCTGGCTCAGAGAGGAGAGAGGGCGGTGGGCGTGGGAGTCGCTTTACTGCTGAAGGTGCACTTTCCAAAGCACAGGCGCATCGTGGCCAGGACGGAGGCTGGACGAGCCTCAGTCGGACACAGGCAGGCAGGGCAGCCCCCGGCTGGCCCGGATCCGCTGGGACACGCGGAAGAGCTCCATGGTCGCCCTTGCGTCTTCCACCGAGCTGTGGCCCAGACCAGTGTTCTGCAGATACAGGCAGAGTGGCGCTCAGATGGGGCCCTCACCGCTCACACCTCCACTCCAGCTTGGAAGGCCAGAGCGGGCCTGGCCTCAGCCAGGAGCTCTGGGGTCAAGGACCCTGCAGGCGGCAGAGAACAGCGAAGCTCCCGTGACAGCCAGCTAGGCCGGGGGCAGCCAGGGAGGGACCCAGGCAGGGGACGGCGTCCGTGAGGGAGGACCACGTGCTGCTGGCCTGGGGACGGGAGGTGCCTGCCCCTAAGATAAAAGCTGCAGCGGGGGTGGGCCAGGGCCCACCGGGAAGGCTGTGACCACTGCACGGGGCGTGGGTCTTCAGGACTCAAGGGGGCACATGCTGCCCTCCTGTGTGCACAGCTTGGGCTCACATGGTCCTGTAAGCCCTCTTGTTCCTGGTGGTGAAACGGAAGCCCATACCACAGCCGGTGGGGCTGGCACCCTTCCCTCCCTGCACACCCCTGCAGCCTGAGGTCCTGGCTGGGCCAGTGTGGGGCCCAGGGGTGGCTGCATTTTCTTGGGGTTCCTCCTTTGAGAGGGGCCTCCCTTGCCTTGCGCAGGCTCTTTTCCAGACATTCAGGGCCCAGGGTACGGCCCATAGCACCTCCCATGCCTGCCCTGCCCTCACCCAACAGACAGGGAAACAGGCAGAGCCCCTCCGACTTGCGGTCAGATGAACCCACCCTGGAACTCCAGCCGATGCCCAGAGCTCAGCGTCCATGGGCTCTTACCGTTCTGTCAGGTGGGCATGGCCATGCCTTCCTCAGAGGGTGGGACTCTCCCAGGAGGGAGACCCTGTCCTGTGGGGCCGTGCACATGCAGGGCACGTGCTGGAGGCACCGATGCAGCAGGAGCTGGGGCAGGGCGAATCACCCGGCTCCAGGGACCGGAGCCTGCGGGGTCCCCGGGTCAGGCTCGCTGCCCCCAGGACACGGCCCAGACTGACAGCCACGGGGACAAGGGCTCTGAGAAGCCCAGCTGGGTCCTTGGGCCACTGCTGACCCAGAGACTCCTCCCCTGCCCAGACAGCTCCCGCCGTGGGGCGGGGGCCGGGGCCTGGCTCTGGGCCCCCACCGCTCAGGCCGGGGTCCCTGCTGCCGGGTCCCTCACCTGGATGTGCCTGTGGAGGAGGCGCTCACACAGCACCCGCAGGGACACTCGTCTGCAGGAGCCCAGTCTGGCCTCGCGCCACAGCAGCCTGTCGGTGGCCGTGTCGTAGATGGTGTAGGCCTCCATGTCCTCCCGCAGAGCCTGGAAGTCGTGCTTCAGGTCATGGCCCACCACCAGCTTGCCTCTGAGCAGCTGCAGAATCTGCCCAGGGAGATGCACATCACCGAGGCCCCTGGCGGGCGGGCACAGCCCCTCCTCCCTTGCTGTGTGGCGTCGGGCAGCTCACACCATCCCTGGGCTCCAGCCACATCGACCAGGAAAGGAGACGCCTGAACCAAGTCCCCCTGAGGCCCACACAGGCCGGGTGCCCAGCGGCAGCCCTCCTGGGTCAGGCAGACACCTGCGCCCAACCCTGCCCGCAAGCGCGCTCCCTGGCACAGAGTTAAAGCTGAGGTGGGTGATGACTGTGAAGCAAGGAGAAGCCCCCTCCCCGAGGGCCCAACCCAACACCTGAAGGTCAGGGGTCGCAGGTGGGCGGAACTCACACCTGTGCAGAGGAGGAGGGTGCAGGGGGCCTGGAGGAGCCGGGGCAGGAGTGTGGGGAGCAGGAAGTGGGCTCTCCCCCAGCCCCGCTGAGCCCACATGGGGCTGCCAGGCAGTAAATGCGTGTGTTCTAACCCGCTAAGTCTGTGGCAGGGCTGTTGCCATGCACAGGGACAGGTGATCTTCAGACGAGTTTGCAAACTCCTTCTCAGTCTTCTCCGAAGAGGAGGACTCCGGTGCCCCGCTGGCCTGCAGGCGGCCCGGTGACTTCTGACCTCTCTGGGGCCAGGTCCATGATCACCCAGCCGCCCACAGAGGGGCCTGAGCCCAGGCAGTGGTGAGGGACCCCCGATGGCAGTCTTAGCCCTCAAGCCCCTCAGCAGACAGCACCTGCCCGGCCCCGCACAGCCTGCAGGCCAGGAACAAAATAAACACTGATGTTTCCACCGCAAATTCTGCCGTGATTCGCCAAGTGCCACCAGATAATGAGGCTGGGCACGCGCCATGAGGGCAGAGGGTCACCGCTGCACTGACCAAGGCACAGGCTGCCCCAGGCTCTGCCAGCCTAGCGGCCGAGCCACAGGGGCAGCCAGGAGAGAGCCCACCCTCACCCCATGGGGGGCCTGGGCAGCCTCTCGGGCAGTGGCCACGCAGCACTTGGACTTGTCAGCCTCTGGGGAGGGGCCTGGAAGTGAAGGGGTCTCAGCGTCCTGGGCTGACAGCCCCTGGGACACTTCCCCACCTCCCGCTGGTGGCTCCGATGAACTCCTCGTGACAAAGGAGAGGGTGGACAAGCCGAGGAAGGGGGAGAGGAAATGCAGCTCTTCTGGACGAAGGTGCTGGGCCCTGGACAGGGACGGACTCCGGGACTCGTCACACGGCCTGGGCAGGTCAGGCCCACGTGGCCCTCAGCAGCCAGGGTGCCACAGACGCTGGGCAGGGCTGCCGCCAGGTCAGACAGCTGCTGGAGCCAGGGCAGGCAGGCCCAGGGCTGCAGCACCTGCTCTGAGTGACACATGGCAGCTGTCTCAACCTCGCCACTGCCGCAGGCGGAGGCGGAGACTCACGTTCCTGGAAAGAGATGGGCTGGGGAGGGACACTTGCTGGGCTCCTGCCAGCAGGCACCGTCTGCGCCAGGTCCGTCCACACCTCACAAGAGGAGGAAGTTAGGGGGTTTGCCCAGGTCACCCAGCTGAGGACCTGCAGCCGAGAATGTGTGGCCCCACCTGAGCTTCACACCGCACCTGCTACCCCCAGCTGAGCACCAGGACAGAGGGCACAGCTGGCCCACAGTGGCTGCCACTGAAGACTTCCAGGGTCAGGACAACAGGCCCTGTGAGGCAGGATTGCCTCCCTCCTGACCAACCCACAGGGGCTGCAGAGGGAAGGTTCCTGGGTCACATGTGCAGAGGGGAAGCAGGCAGGTGCAGCTCCGGCCTCCGAGTCTGCCCTCTGCCCGGGCACTGCCTAGATGTGCCCAACCCAGGCCTTCTGAACCAAAATCAGCGTGTGCTGATTGTTCCAGGGGCTGCTTCACAGCACGGGCAGCGCCCAGCTAGGCCACTGGGGGGATACAGTGGGCCAGGCGGCCAGCCAGCTCCCAGACCAGCACTGCCTGGCAGAAGAATGGTGTGAGGCACAGGTGGAGTTTACACTTAAAAGGTAAGAAGATGGTTGACGTTGTAGAGTAGCGGTAAAGCCATGGCCTGCTGCACCAGCATGCCCCATGGGCGCCTGTTCATGTCCCAGCTGCTCCACTTCCGATTCAGATCCCTGCTGATGCTCCTGAGAAAGCAGTGGAAGATAACCCAAGGGCTTGGGCCCCTGCACCCACATGGGAGACCCGGAAGAAGCTCCTGGCTCCTGGCTTCAGATCAGCTCAGCTCCAGCCTTTGTGGCCATTTGGGGAGTGACCCAGTGGAGAAAAGACCTTTCTGTCCCTCCCTTTCTGTCTGTAACTCTACCTCTCAACTGAATAAATCTTTTTTTAAAATAATAAAGATCTATCAGGGTATTTTATGGTTCTTTTTAAAAATACTAGTGTTCCAAGCCCTGTGTGGACTTGTCGCTCACAGCACGACCCGAGTGGCCAGCACAGCCCTGGTCGTGCTCCTGGCCAGCTCCTCCATGTTCTGGGTGTTGGGGCTGACCGAGCCCCCCAGCAAAGTTGTGTTCAAGCATCACCCCCAGCACCTCAGGAAGAGGCTTGTTGGCAAGGGGGTCTTGGGGTCGCTGCAGAGAAACACTCGTGTCTCAGGACCTGCGCTGAGCCGTGCACACCCCCAGGGTGCTCTGGGTCACCTCTGATCCCAGATACCCAGGGGATGCTCTGGGCTGTCCAGGGGACCGCGACAAGAAAGAAAAGCCTGCAGGTTCAGGACACACACGATTTTTCCCAAGTAGCTCTGATGCGGCACTGGGGGGATCTGTGAAAGCAGAACCTGCCTCCGCTCTCTCCACCCCAACAAGGGATGGGAAGCCAGGTACACAGAGGTAGAGCACCCTCCAGGGAACCTAGCCGGTGACAGCGGGGCGGGGGCTCACACCAGCCCCTTAACTGAGTAACAGCACCTGGCAGGGCTGCGGCTGAGGAGTGAATGGGCGTGAAGACGCACAGGTGAGCGCCAGGACTCCATGATCCAGAGCTACTGTGGTCTCCCCTGCAGCACCGGGGCCTGGATCTCGAGGGGCACGTGGAGCCCCCCTACCCAGGCCTCCCAGCTTGTAAGGGGGGAGGAGTCCACTGCCTGAGCCCTCTCCAGGTGACTCAGCCCGGGAGCACGTCCAGGGGCTGCGTCTTGCTTTCCCTTCTGGTTCAGAGAAACCGAAAGTTAGGCCCACAGAGGATTCCCCAACAAGCGGAGCACAGCGAGGCAAACCTCAGCTGGGGTGGGAGGCTGTGCAGCCTCAGCTGGTCTGGGACAGACATCCTGGCCCCTCTGCCCCGGAGGCTCTGGCCTGAGCTCTGAAGGCGGCTTGGCCCGGGGGTCCACGTGGGAGCACCTGTGGCAGCCTGGTACACTCGCGGAGCAGGGAGTCAGGTGGGACTCGTTACTCAGCCTCCACGCTGTCTTCTCCCAGGAGAAAGCCTCCTTGGGGGAGATGCAGACACCGGCGGGGTCACCATCACAGGGCAGCACCAGGGAGACAGCAGGTAAGGGGGGGTGGTTTCTCCGCAGCCCCTGGACTGGCTGGCACCGGCCCTTCACTCACCTCTCGCCTGGCCTGGGCGAACGGGGTGGCCGTGGCCATGTGCTGAGGCGTGACCCCGCTGACCCGGGTTCTGTAGTCGGTGATCTCCCCCTCGGGCAGGATGAACTTGTCGTAGAGCACGGTGCCCTGCAGGCTCACCAGGCTGCAGCGTGCCAGGCCGCTCTCCCGCAGGGGCCCCAGCCCCACCATCTCACAGTCCATGGCCACCACCTCGGGGCTGCCCGCCATGCTCCTCGCAGACCCTCTGGTGCTGCGGAGAGGGGCAGCAGGGTCAGCCACACCTGGCCACCACAGGTTACCCCTCCGCCCTGCCCTGTCTCCAGCAACACCTGGCCACAGGGAAGCCGGCTTCCTGGCTCACTGGGCCGGCCCGGGCAGGCCTGTGGGCCGGGAGGCACCGCCCATGCCTCCTGGCCCTCACCTGGCGGCCCTGGGTCCCGTCTCCGCCTCCAGGCAGCCTCTTCCCCCTGAGAGAACTGCTCTGGCAATGACTCTCTGCTCTGAGCCAGGCATCCCGGCCCCTTTACAGTTTCTGGTTTGTTATCAGAGCCAGGCCAGAAGGCAGGCGCGTGGGCCAGCAGGTGGGGAGCGGCCTGCCTCACGAGACACATCTGACGTGGAAGGAGCGATTGCAACATCTCTACTTCCTCACCCTCCACCCAGGAGCAAACATTCCCAGGATTGCGGCCTGGGAGCTGGGTCCTGTCTTCCACCTGGACACTCCTGATGTTTGCAGGAGCCGGGTGGGGGTGAGAGAGGGCTAGCCCCCACCATGGCCCAGTAGAAAGATGCAGGGGTGCCCTGGAAGCTGGCATCCATGCACCCCCAGGGGCCCTGTGCTGTCTGGGGACAAGGTCTGGCAGTGGGGCCGTACTTCCATGCACACAGCAGTGAGTGCAGGGAGGGCGAGGTCACCTGGGCACAGTGGACAACTGCCAGCGCTGCCCTGTGTCCCACCCCACCCTCAAGCCCTACCGGGCTGTTTCCCAACAGCTGATTTCTCAGCTGTTTTGTCACTGCACTTCTCTGCCATGAGCTTTGGTGACTTCCTCTTGTCCAGCTCAACTCCCTGGAGGCTTCAGACCCCTTCACCTGTGGCCTCCTGCCACATCATGTCCCAGCCCTCTTAGGTCCACACCCACCCACCTGCAGCTCACTCAACTCCCCACACTTGAGGGGCACAGGGTCCAGGGCTGGGAGACAGCAGCTCACAGGGCACAGGAAGCCCCCCCTGCCTCCTCCACTGGCTTGGTCTGTTTCTCCAGGCTTCTGTATTTAAATCTGCACCCTAGCCACTTCCTGGCTTTCCCATCAATCAGTGTTTTGTTTGCTCACTTCCGGTTCTTTGGTCCCTGTTTCACTGCCTGCCCCAAAGCATCTGCCCAGAACCCTGCCTTTGTGCTCAGTGTCCTGGGCACTGTAACCAGGAGGGAGGAAGCCCAAGCCAGGGGTCTCCCAGAAGTGATGCCCCCACTTTAACCAGTACCATCGGTGGCCAGCAAGGTCCTCTACCCAAAGCCAAGCGCCGGCCAGCTCATGGGGTGTATCTCAACACACGAGTTGTGCTAATGACACAACTAAATGAGCTAAAAAGTTGCAATACACCAGTAAGCACAAAAAGTGCTCAACATGGGGCTGCCACTGTAGCTCAGTGAGCTAAGCCACCCCTGGGACACCTGCATCCTGCATGGGTGCCGGTTCGAGTGCTGGCTTCTCAGTTCTGATCCAGCCCCTGCTAATGCGCCTGGTGAAGCAGCAGCAGATGGATCTCTTCTCTCTCTGCAACTCTGCTTTCAGATAAACAGACCTAAAAAGGGGGGTGGGGTGCTGACACCGTGGCGTAGCGGGCTAAGCCTCCGCCTGTGGCACCAGCATCCCATATAGGCGTCGGTTCTAGTCCTGGCTGCTCCTCTTCCAATCCAGCTCTCTGCTATGGCCTGGGAAAGCAGTAGAAGATGGCCCAAGTCCTTGGGCCCCTGCACCCACATGGGAGAGCCGGAAGAAGCTCCTGGCTCCTGGCTTCAGATCAGCTCCAGCCATTGTGGCCATTTGGGATGGAAGACCTTTCTCTGTCTCTAACCCTACCTCTTAAATAACTAAATAAAAATCTTAAAAAAAAAAAAAAAGTGCTCAATACCACCAATCATTAGGGAAATATAAACCTCACACCCAGTACAATGGCCAATGGAGAGTGAACCCTTGTGCACTGCTGGGAGCAGGCCAGCAGGTCCTCTCTGACCATGGGGGGTCCGTGAGACCAGCACACCTTTGCTCACAGCTGCAGCATTCACCCCACACGCGGAAGCCAAGGGCTGTGACCCAGGGCTCACACGTACAAAGAGCTGTGCAGCCTCAGACAGGGCCTCGAGCCCTGTGCTCCGTGCAGACGAGCTGAGGACCTGACACTGCGTGGAGCAGGCACAGGTGCCACAGAACACACCCCCCGAAAAAGCTACTGAAACTCAAGAGTAGAAAGGCGGCCAGGAGGGTGAGGTTCTGGAGACAGACGGTGCACACCAAGTGTGGCTGACAGCTGGCTAGGGTGGCTAGTTTGTTATTTTACCAGCACTTAGAGAGCAGGGGTTCCAGGGCGAAACAAGTCCCTGTGTCCTCTAAGGAGCAATTACAAAACAGCGCGGCGTTCCTGCCACATCCCGACACGCCACCCTGACAGCTCCGCTGATGGCACCCTCCAAGCCCGACTCTGGTGCCCAGGCTCTGGCCTTCCTCCACCCACACACCCAGCCATCGGCTCCCGCCTGGGGCTGAGTCTGGCGTCAGACTCTTAAGGGATCCAGAGGAAGTCCTGGAGCCAGCTCTCCCACTGTGCCGACAGAGGGGCTGTGACCACACGCCCACGGCCCCGCCTCGGAGGAACCAGACAGGCACAGGGAAGCCCTGAGCCCCAGCCGTGGCAGAGCAGAGAGGACTTTCCTTTTCAGGCCCTGCTGCTCCACCGAGGGCTTGGCAGCTCCGCCACGAGGCTCAAAGGCCGGGCCCTGTGCTCAGCACTGCCCCTTAAGCCTCACGCTGCCCACTTCCAGGGGTCCGGAGTCAACAGGCTCGAGAGGCGAGCACATGCTGCCTGAGGTCTCACAGCCAGGAGGCACCACCCCAACCGCCCCTTAGCAAACAAAGAACCTTAGAAACTGCAGGGAAACCCCACGGCTACAGGGACTGCCAGAGCTGAGGACGCCCCAAGGCGGCCCAGCCCCAGCCTGGCCAACAGGCGCTCTGCTCCCCTGGACTGTGGCCCCGCTCCTAAGGGAGACAAGGCAGGCACAGGGCAGAGGCCCCTCAGACGGCTGAATGCTGGGGGTGGGGGTGGGGGGCAGGGAATCCCAGTTTGGGTCAAAATCAGTTTTCCAGTGCCCACCCAGCACTGCTCTGCTCCTCCCTGAGCTGTGCCCAGCACAGGAAGGGCCAGCGCCACAGGGGGACGCAGCCTGCCCCAACCATGGAGACACCTGTCCCTCAGGGGCCTTGGCTCTCAACTCCAGCGCTGTTTATTTCACTCATTGACCACAGACAGGTGCTCACCCCACCCGTGCCCCAGGGGAGATGACAGCCCGGTGGGCGGCACCTGCTGGTGACCTCAGATGTGGGGGTGGGGAAGGCCAGGGACTGGCGTGCTGGGCCCCAGGGGGCCGTCTGCTGGCCATTTCCTGGAGAGTGTAAAGTGCCACGAGTGAGTCCAGGGACTGGAGACAGGGCTATGCCACGGGCGGGAGACAGGACACGGCCAGGCCCTGCCCTGGTCCCTCGGTCCTCCTTCTACACCTCACTCCTCCCCAGCTCTTCCTCTGGGGCCCTGGGCCAAGTCCGCAGGCCAGTACTGGTCTTCCATGTACTGCTCCATGTCAGTGCTGCTGTCAGGGTCCCCGTCCTCACGGTGGGCCTGGAGGCCGCTGGCCACTTGCTGCTCCCACTGTGCCTCCACCAGTCGGTAGAGCTCCATGGCTGCTGTGGCATCTTCCACAGACGAGTGCCCGTGCCGGCCCACCTGTGGATGAGACATCTGCCTGCAGCCCTGGCCAGAGCCTCCTCCTGCAGCTCTTGTACAGGCCTGAGAACACGTGCCCACCTCGGGGTGCAGAGAGAAGGGCCAGAGCGCCAGCCATCCCCCCAAGGCCGCCCGGCCTCTCTGAGCACCAGCCATCCCCCCAGGCTGCCCGGCCTCTCTGAGCGCCAGCCATCCCCCCAGGCTGCCCGGCCTCTCTGAGCGCCAGCCATCCCCCCCAGGCCGCCCGGCCTCTCTGAGCGCCAGCCATCCCCCCCAGGCCACCCGGACTCTGAGCGCCAGCCGTCCCCCCCACCCAGGCCACTGGCCTCTCTGAGCCTGTTCTCCTGAGACGGGAGCCACGACAGAAATCTGCTCGAGGCTCAGGCTGTGGGGCAGGGGCAGGGGCAGGAGTCAGGAGGGGGCTCATCTGAGACCAGGCTGGAGGAACGTGGTGATCATAGCATGATAGGGAAGGGCTGAGAGACACCATGGCTGCTCCGCAGGGGGACTGAACCATGTGCAGGGCCCCCAGACCTGGGCTGGCAAAGAACCACAGGAAGTGGGGCTTTCTCCCTCCACGTACCTGGATCCTCCTGTGCAGCAGCTGCAGAGCCAGGTCCTTGAGAGAGACCCGCGCCCGGGCGTGGAGGCTGGGCTGGCTGAGGAGGCTGGGGACACACGTGGTGTCCCGGGTCTGGCTCCGAGGGTGCACGTACTTGAGGGCCTGGAAGTCGTTGTGCAGGGCGTGCCCCACCACCACCTTCCCCTTCAGGAGCTTCAGGATCTGAGGGTGGAAGCGGGAGTCAGAGGCCCCGGCAGCGGCCACAGCCAGGCTCCGAGCGGAGGCTCGGCACAGGAACCTGCACCTGAGGCCGGGCCCACGACCGCGCAGTCTCCTACAGGACCAGCACAGCAAACAGCACCCGTGTGTGTGGGGGGGGGGAGGGGGTTCGCGTTACCGGACTCCAGCACTCCAGGCCTTCTACATGCCTGGGCGCCGCGCCTCACCTCGCCTGCCTACTCTACACTGGGCTCCTCATTCTCCCCTGCAGTGGTGCCAGCACCCGGCTCAGCCACCCCATCCCCTCCCGCACGGCAGGAGCCGCATCTGACTTAACCAGTGAGGCTCCAACAACAGCACTTCACCTGATCGCTGATTACTCACTCGCCTAGCGGGTGAAACCAGAACCGAGCCTGGCGCAGTTCTTGGGTAGCCAGCAGCCCGGCCCTGTGGTTGGGAGTCTGCCCCAACCCTCCCCATACCCAGGGAGGCCAGGGCAGGGGCCTGTGCCCCATCTTCACATCAGGTGTCGCTCTGCTCTCATTCAGGCAGCTGTCCTAAGACTTCTTTTGAAAATACGCATCTGTGGGGCTGGCGCTGTGGCACAGCAGGTAAAGCCACTGCCTGCAGTGCCAGCATCCCATATGGGTGCCGGTTCGAGTCCCAGCTGCTGCACTTCTGATCCAGCTCTCTGCTATGGCCTGGGAAAGCAGTGGAAGATGGCCCAAGTGCTTGGGCCTCTGCACCCACATGGGAAAACCCAGAGGAAGCTCCTGGCTCCTGGCTTTGGATCGGTGGAGCCATTGCAGCCAACTGGGGAGTGAACCAGCAAATGGAAGACCTCTCTCTCTCTGCCTCTCCTTCACTGTGTAACTCTTTCAAATAAATAAATAAATCTTCAGAAAAAGAAAAAAATACACATCTGTTCCAAGGCAATTGACATGCTGGGAGGAGACCTGCACTCTGCTCACACCTGCCTGCATCCTGAGAAACACCCAGCAACGCTGCCGAGCCCCACCCACAGCACCCCTCCATCCAGGGAACCGCCCACCCACAGCACCCCTCCATCCAGGGAACCGCCCACCCACAGCACCCCTCCATCCAGGGAACCGCCCACCCACAGCACCCCTCCATCCAGGGAACCGCCCACCCACAGCACCCCTCCATCCAGGGAACCGCCCACCCACAGCACCCCTCCATCCAGGGAACCGCCCACCCACAGCACCCCTCCGTCCAGGGAACTGCCACCCACAGCACCCCTCCGTCCAGGGAACCGCCCACCCACAGCACCCCTCCGTCCAGGGAACCGCCCACCCACAGCACCCCTCCGTCCAGGGAACCGCCCACCCACAGCACCCCTCCGTCCAGGGAACCGCCCACCCACAGCACCCCTCCGTCCAGGGAACCACCCACCCACAGCACCCCAGCAGCAGCCCTCACACCTGCTCTCACAAGCAGACAGGTAAAGGGTTAATGCATTTCCTAACCACTTAACAGGCCCAAAGGGTGCCCCATTGTTATCAGGGTTCTTTTCATCCTGGGTGTCACTGACAGTCCTGTGAGGGTGTGCCCAGCCCAGTTCCCACGTGAGCCTGTCTGCTCCGTGTGCGACCTCAGGGACACAGAGTCACAGCCCTCTCAGGACAGCTGGGCTTGGAGCCCACCAGTCGGGTGCTTCCTGCGGTCGGGCATGGCTGTAGTCACAACCAGCAGAAAACAGAACCTGACCGCCGGCACCGCCTTTGTCCAGATCGCCCACGCGGGCCCCGGCTGAGTGGATCAGGGTCAGGGACTGTAGTCACAGAAGCCTTCCGAGGACTCCGCCCACCACCAGACCCCCGCCGGCCCCCAGCCCTGACCTCCTTCTGGGCCTCCTTGAAGGGGATGGCCTTGCGCATGTGCTGCCGGGTGACGCCGCTCCAGCGTGTGCGGTAGTCCGTGATGGGCATCTCCGGCCGGATGTACTTGTCGTAGAGCACGTCGCCGTGGTAACTCACCACGGAGCAGCGGGCCAGCTCGCTTACCCGCCCCCGGGGTCCCGTGCCCACCATCTCGCAGTCAATGGCCACACACTTGCTGGGCACGAGTCCCGCGGCCTCCTTGCGGGTGGGCTTCCTACTGCACGGGGCACAGCCAGAGCCGGCCCCCGGGTGCTGCCCCTGGCTGTCGGGAGCCTGGGTGCCCGGCAGCGGCTCTGGCTCCGGAGGCAGGTTCAGCGGCCCCTGTCCCTGCAGCAGGGCCTTCCGCGCCATGAACCGCTGGTGCTGCCGGCTCCTCCTCTTGTGCCGGTTCCGAAGCCCATCCTTAGCATTCAGGCCGCCAAGGGTCGGGCACAGGCACGGGGCAGAATCCGGGGCCTCCCGGGGCACCGTCCCCATCAGCTCATGGCTCTGGACAAGGGAGGCCTGGGAGGTGCTCTTGCCTTGGGGCAGCGGCCTGCAGAAGAGACAGGGAGAGAGGCTGGCTGAGGAGTGTGCCCGGCCCCAGCCAGCGGGCCGCCCTGCGGCCTGTGCTGCAGCGGGGGGTGGCAGCTGCCCGAGGACCCGCTGCCAACACCATCACTGACAACAGCACCTGAACAACCCACACAAACCCGACGACCCCCACTCCACAGGAAAGAACCCGAGCGGCTGCCTGACTCCTAGGCGACACCTGTCAAGTAGAACCCAGAATCTGCCCTCCATCTCGATCTCAGGCGCTCCCCTGGACACGAAAGGTTTCCAGCTACACAGTTACCAGCAAACAGCTTGTAGGAGGGCGCAGGCGGTTATGCTGCGAGCTACTGTTTCGGGTCCAGCTCCCCGCTGACGCACTGGGGAAGTCAGCAGGTGACAACCCAAGTAGTTGGGCCCCCCACCCGGCATGGGAGACCCGATGTTGTTCTGGGCGCTGACTTCTGCCTGACCCAACCTGGGCTGCTTCAGGCGTCTGAGGAGTAAACCACCAGATGGACAAGCTTTTTCTTTCCAATAAACACATCTTTAAGGAAAAAAGCAAGTCACAGAAAGTGCCCAGTGTCCCTGCGGCAGCCCTGCCCCTCCCCCCAGGCTGCAGGGACCAAGCCCCCTGCTCTCCGCTAGGACGGCAGAGCGGCCGCGGCCAGAACTCACCGCCCCTCCCTAGCCCGCAGGCCCGGGTCACTCACATCGCGCAAGGCCGGCTGGGCGGGTACGAGGGCGCTGGAGCCCGAGCGGACGCGGAAGCCGCAGGCGCCTCCGTCAGGGACTGCGCTGGAGACGGTGCAGGCCGGTCCCGGAGGGCTTCCCGGAGGAGTGAGGCCTGCGAAGGAGGCACGGTGAGCTCCAGGCGAAGGCGCCGGAACCCGCGCTCCGTGCGGGGCCCGTGCGACCCACGGCGTCCGTCCCAGCACTGGGCAGCCCGGACTTAGGTGCCCTGCCCAGTCACGGGCAGGCCGGGCCCCGGGCTCGCCCAGAGTCCCCGGGGCTCCGGGCGGCTCCCACGTCGCTGCGGAAGAGGCCGGGGCGCCAGCCCCACCCGCGACCGAGAGCCGGCTCGACCTGGTCCCTACGACCGCACCGCCCGCGGACAGCGACGCGGCCTCCCGGTGCCGACTCAGCGCCGGTCACGCCCCGGCCACGCCCGCCCGCAACAGGGCCCCAGCCCGCCCGGCCCGGCCCCGCCGGCCACGGCCCACTCCCCGAGGCCCCCGGCCCACTCCCCGAGGCCCCCGGCCCACCTGGGCTTCTGCTCACCCACCGGCCTGGAGTCGCCTCCGCCCGCACGTGGAGGCCCTGCCGCCGCAGCTCCCGCATGCCCGGGCAAGCCCGGCCGGCCGCTCGCCTATTGGCCGGCTGGTAGGCAGCGCCCGCCTTCGTCCTCTTCTGATTGGCCAAGGCCGTCTAGCTGACGCTAGGCTACGAGAGCAGAAGGGAGGGACTCCGTAGGGTCGCGGCGGTGTGCCAGCAGGCCACGCCCCCGGTGAACTGAGCCGTCGTGGGGGCGTGGCCTCCGCGCGTCCCAGCCAGCTCCGGTCTGCGCCTCCCTCCCCAGGCCCCCTCAGCCCCCTCCAGTGCCCCGCCCCCAGCGCCCCGCCCCTCCAAGTGACCCGCCCCCCGGCGCCCCGGCCCCCTGCCCCCTCCACCCCGATTTCTGAGTCACGGGGTGTCCTGTGAACTTGAGGCCGCAGGGACTGATGACTAACAGCGCACTCGCGTCTGTGGGGGAACAGGAGCCCCCTCCTCCCGGGTTATGCCGTGAACGGTACCGCTCGCGGGCCATGGTCCACACTAGACGAGACCGCGTTTGCACCCTGGCTGCTGCTTTCCCATGCGTTCTTTCGCACACCTGGAGCTGACTGGGAGCCGCACTTGGCTGGCAGGTGGCAGCCGGCGTGACTGACAAGTCAGGGCTGTGTGACCAGAGCAAGAACAAGATGCCATCGCGGACCACCGGTGATGTCCCAGGCCTGTCTCACAGGTAGGAAAGCTGACGCTTACGGAGGGTGAGAGAGCCACCTCTGTCCCAGGGGAGGGCCCGACCTGAGCAGCGGCCCGCACTTCCTGCAGGCCTGGGATGCGGCGGGACTGAGCCTTACCCAGGGGACATTGGACGGCGTCGGTCCTGCTACGCCAATCCCCAGAGGCTTTTGGGAGACGGACGGGCTGAAGCCACAGATGCTACTCCAGCAGAGCTGCTTTCTGGGGAGTCCACTGTGGCTGTGTGCAGGGAGAAATGATGGGTGTGGGGACGGCCGCAGGGACCTGGGGGAGGGGGCGTGGGGACCTGGGGGAGGGGGCGTGGGGACCTGGAGGAGAGGGCATAGGGACCTGGGGGAGGGGACGTGGGGACCTGGAGGAGGGGGCGTGGGGACCTGGGGAGGGGGCGTGGGGACCTGGGGGAGGGGGCGTGGGGACCTGGAGGAGAGGGCGTGGGGACCTGGGGGAGAGGGCGTGGGGACCTGGAGGAGAGGGCGTGGGGACCTGGAGGAGAGGGCGTGGGGACCTGGAGGAGAGGGCGTGGGGACCTGGGGGAGGGGGCGTGGGGACCTGGAGGAGAGGGCGTGGGGACCTGGGGGAGGGGGCGTGGGGACCTGGAGGAGAGGGCGTGGGGACCTGGGGGAGAGGGCGTGGGGACCTGGGGGAGAGGGCGTGGGGACCTGGGGGAGAGGGCGTGGGGACCTGGGGGAGGGGGCGTGGGGACCTGGGGGAGAGGGCGTGGGGACCTGGAGGAGGGGGCGTGGGGACCTGGAGGAGGGGGCGTGGGGACCTGGAGGAGAGGGCGTGGGGACCTGGGGGAGAGGGCGTGGGGACCTGGAGGAGGGGGCGTGGGGACCTGGGGGAGGGGGTGTGGGAACCTGGGGGAGGGGGCGTGGGGACCTGGGGGAGGGGTCGTGGGGACCTGGGGGAGGGGGCGTGGGGTCCTGGGGGAGGGGGCGTGGGGACCTGGGGGAGGGGTCGTGGGGACCTGGGGGAGGGGGCGTGGGGTCCTGGGGGAGGGGGGCGTGGGCACCTGGAGGAGAGGGTGTGGGGACCTGGGGGAGAGGGAGTGGGGACCTGGGGGAGGGGGAGTGGGCACCTGGAGGAGAGGGTGTGGGGACGGGAGCAGAGGATGGAGCTAAGGACAGACTCGAGAGTTGCTCGCTCTGAGCAGCTTGGATGATACAAAGTTAAGCAGAAAAAACAACGTTGTGCACAGCACAACACGGAAAGCGACCTGGCTTGGGAAGGAGACTGTCCTTGGAAGGATTGTTCAGGGTGCAGAGAGAGTCGGAAGTGGGGTGAGCGGGGCTGCATGGACGTCCAGTGCTGGGGCCAGCCTGTTCCTGGGGGAGGGATCTGGGAAGAAGGGGTGTGTGATGGCAGAGGCTGAGGTGAGCCAGCGTCCTGGCACCTTGGAGAACCCAACTATAGCCACACTTTGGCCAACAAGCATTTTGGTGCCGTTGACTAGTGGGCCGAGTAGAGCAGCCAGTCACTTAGGAAGCAAAGAAGAACGTTGGGGGCTGGCGCTGTGGCATAGGTTAAGCCTCCACCTGCAGCTGGTTCCAGTAGATGCGCTAAGGGTTCCAGTCCGGTTCCAGTCCCAGCTGCTCCACTTCCAAACCAGCTCGCTGCTATGGCCTGGGAAAGCAGTGGAAGGTGGCCCAAGTGCTTGGGCCCTTGCACCCGCATGGGAGACCTGGAGGAAGATCCTGGCTCCTGGCTTTGGATCGGCTTAGCTGCAGCCATTGTGGCCATTTGGGGAGTGAACCAGCAGATGGAAGACCTCTCTCTGTCTCTTCCTCTCTCTAACTCTACCTCTCATGTAAATAAATAAAAATCTTTAAAAAAAATGGCAGAGTGAGGGACAAAGATCTCCCTTCTGCTGTTTCATGCCACAAATGCCTGCAACAGCCAGGGCTGGGCCAGGCCAAAACCAGGAGCTAGGAATTCAATCCAAGTCTCTCCCGTCGGTGACAGGATCCAAGTACTTGAGCCCTCACCTGCTGCCTCCCAGGCTGTGCGCTGCAGGGAGCTGGGCCAGAGCAGAGCTGGGACTCGAACCCAGGGTGGGATCGAGCCTCGAGAGTGGCACCTTAACCCCGGGCCGCTCGCCCCACCCCTCAGCCACTGCTGCTGTAGAAGCAGGGTGGGTGGTGAAATCCCAGTGGTGAGAAGTTCCCACGTCCTTGAAAATAAACCATGTTGGCTCCAAGTCAGACAACATTCAGACTCCCCTGTGTTCTTTAAAGTCTACACTGCAGCTTTGTAACTACATGGAATTTTGGTAAAAATATATTATCAAGCAGAATTGTGAGGCCCAGTGTCCAACAGGGCGGTTGCCCAGGTGCCGCCCACAGGTTGGGCTGGGGCCTGGGTGGGACCCCCGACCTCTGCTGGGTCCCTACTCTTCTCCTGCAGGTTTTCGGCTGGAAGCACTCCGCACAGGACTTTCCCTGGTTCTGTCTGTCCTGCCGTAGTCACGGGGCCGGCTCTGCGGCACCCGTGTGATAGGCCAGCTGCAGGCTTGAAAGGACACGCTGGCCTGGTCAGTTTTGAAGCAGTGGCTCTCCAAGTGTAGTGGCACAGCAGCCTGGGTCTCTGCCCCGGGGCCCCGCATTATAAAGCCACCCGTTGCCGCCTGTGAGGGTGCGAAGCGGCCGAAACGGGGCCGCAGGTGTGCGGAGGACTCGTTCACACGGGCAGCCCCCTGCATAGAGGCTGCACTCCGGACCCGGGCCGCCAGTCACCCTGAAACCTTGACAGCGGCGTCCGCAACTCGTGCGCTCCCAGCACCCTTAGCGCAAAGCAAGGCTTTCATGTGGTTGATTTTTATGGAGGTTCGGATTGGATGCAGAGAAATTCTACTGTGTGCTATTGCAGGCTCGCTTCAGACTGGAGTTAAGTCAGTAGTGCCCCGTTGTCGGCTGAACGTGGGGACCTGGACAACGCCCTGAGGCCGGGATCCTGAGTTCCCATGGCCCGGGATTCTGGGTTCCCACGGGCTGGGACCCTGTCCTCCAGCCCTGGCTCCGCAGCGGGGCGCGCGGCCCCAGACGGCAGAGACGCAGCTGCCCAGCGCGGCCGGCAGAGGGCGCCGCAGGCCGCGCGTCTCGGGAGCGGCGGGGAGGCCTTCGCGCGGGACCCCAGGCAGCCTCCCGCCCCACCCCCCGCCCACCCGGCCCGGATTCCGCCAGCCGGACCGAGGCGGGCACGGGCTGCGTCCATTCGCGCGGAGGGGGTGCCCTGAACCGGACGCGCCCCCGCCTGTCCCACTTCGGGGAGGCCCCGTGTGGAGTCTTTGGCGGCCCCGACAGCCGGCGGACCCTCTGGCGTGAGGACTGGGGCGGTGGGCGCGGGGTCGGAACCTCGACCGAGTCACCTCCGCAGGGGCCCGCCCGTGGCTTCTCCCACGCCCCTGCGGCCCCCGAGGGCCCGCGCCGCCGGCGGGGAGCGGTTGTAGTGGGGCGGCTGCCAAGCCCGCGTCCCTGCCGTTCGCCGGACCGGAGCGTCCGGGCGCGGTTCGCGGGGGGTGGTGCGGATGGCACAGGCCACTGGGCTTCTGCCTGTCATGCGCGCGAGACCTGAGTGTGTTCCACTCCCGGCCCCGGCTCCCTGCAACACCGCATGGCGCCAGCGTGGGCCTCTGGGGAGTGAACGTGTGGCTGGGAGCCCAAATAAACAAATTTTTTATTTTTTGAATTAATTTACGTGAAAGGTAGAGTTAGAGAGAGATCTCCCATTAGCTGGTTCACTCCCTTTCAAATGGCAGCCAGACCTGGCCCAGCCTGAAGCCAGGAGCCCAGAACCGTCAGGGTCTCCCATAGGGCAGCAGGGGGCCTTGAGCCTCCACCTCCGCTGATCAGGAAGCAACGTCCCACACAGGGCTGCCGCCACTCTGATGAGCTCGCCGACAGGGGATACCCGGTTCACCAGTGTCCTCTGGTCACCTCTGCTGGGGCAGGGGGCTTCCCCAGCCCCACTTTCCCTTGGTGACATCTCTGGGCCAGCAGCACTGGGGCAGGTTCTGGGCCCTGGACGTCCCCTGCACCCCAGTCCACTCCCCTCTGGTCTCGTCCCCTGCTGCAGATACTGTGCTCTCCAGGGCCAGACAGCCGGGTCCCAGGGTGAGACCCCCGGGTCTCTCACTGCGGGTGCCTCGAAACAGCTTAGGAGGAATGAGGGACAGTCATGAGGCTCCCTCTCCCTCCTTGTCCTGGGCCCCTCCTGGGGTCACAGGAGAGTGAAGGAGGCGCTGTGTCTGCTGAGCTGTTTCCTAGGAAGTGTGGGGGTGGCGGCAGAAAGGGGCACCCGCTGCATGGCCAGCACCGTGCGGCAGACTGGGACTTGTTGTTGAGCACAGCGAGACAACAACAAAATCACTAGTCTTCCAGACGGGGCTGGCCGGTCCAGTCCTGGGGGCCGCACCCAGAGCCCTCCACATGCGCGCGCGCGCACACACACACACACACACACACACACACGGGTGGCTGGCTGGATGCTTCTGCAGGGCCAGCCTCAGCCCCCTCCTACCACCACCACTCCCCCACCTCGGAATTCTCCTCTGCTGGAGCTGGGGCAGAACTTATTTTCTTCTTTCTTTGTCTTTTCTGGAGAGTTCTACCGCGGTCAAATCCTCCCTTTAGTAGTCGGGGATCTTACTTTCAAAGGAAGCAGGCAGGGGCCATTTCTCCTCCTTTTCACAGAGCACTAGAGAACAGAGAAGGGAGGGGAAAGAGCTCCAGGTGGTGCCGGCCCCCGCCAGCCCCTCCCCTCCTGCACTGCACCGTCAGGGCAGGGGCCGCCCGCCCAGGCTCACTGAACCCGCGCTGAGAGTGAGGTGCCTGTGCCTGGCAAGCGGAATAAACAGCCAGGAAGGGGTGCGAGCTGGCAGGGGGGTGGTCTCTCCCCTGGACCAGGCTGGGCATCCAGCTAATTTCCCCTGCAGCAGGCCCTGCGCCAGCCTCTGACTGCACTGGTGGGCACCTCCACTCCCTG